CCCCCCCCCCCCCCCCCCCGGGTTCCAGGTACATACCCCTTCACCTTGCAAGCTTCCTACCCCTCGGCCGCGCGTGTAGCGATTTCTATCTTCTTCAATCACAAGTGTGAACTGGTGGTGTCCTCTTTGATACTACTACATTTCTCGTTTTTCCTTTGTGGAATGAACTTCAATCTTATTACGGCTTCAATGTCAAGTTGTTAAAGCTTTGTTTCCTGACATCCTGTAGTGAAATAGGGTGAACGGCGTAAACATTCAAGCAGAAGCTAATACACATAATAATGATATAAAATGATAGTAGTCTCCTATATTAGAATGTGCTTTTTTTTCCACTCTTTCCCAAGTCATGATATCAAGCCACAAATGTCGGTTGTTTATGGGGAGTGGAGGGTTCTGCGTGAGCTTCACCGCTACTGCAAACCGCTCGATTTGTCTCATGCCACCCAGAATAAGAGAGTGCGTAAACGTGGAAACAAAGAACTGAGGGAACACAACCAACCCCCATTTTGGGTGCAGCATTAAGACGTTGATGCGCAGATGAAGGTATGTGCTATTTCCGTCGGAGTTGTTGTTAACCTTTACAGGGCGCCACTTTGAGGTTCAATGTAAGCAGGATACGACTTGAGGGTGAGCCTGATATGATCTGCAGGAAAGTGACGTACTGATCTTACTGATCTTAGTGTGTACAGCCCAACTCAAGTGTGCAAATACACCGCGGCTCAAATATCTTAGTGTGTACCGCCCAACTTAAGCTGGTGTATAAACGAGTCATCCATATACTGTCTCATCTGGCCGCATCCCATCAGAAAAAAGAGGATCTGAGGACTGCCCAGTGTGTACATGTGTGCATGCAAAAGACGCAGAGAGAGAGAGAGAGAGAGAGAGAGAGAGAGAGAGAGAGAGAGAGAGAGAGAGAGAGAGAGAGAGAGAGAGAGTACATACTACATTTATAAGTTCTTCCTGGTTTTCAGTTCCGAAGTCAAAGAAGTAAAAACATTCTTGGCAATTGTTTTTCTTTTTTTTTTTATGTGGTCCCTCTCAGGTGGTTGCATATGACTTTGGAATTAAGCGCAACATCATGAGGAGGCTGATTTCACATGGTTGCCGCATCACAGTTGTACCGTCCATGACAACTGCTGGGGTACGTAAAGCCTTCCTCCTTGTTGAACATAATATAATAGAGTTACATAGTAATCGCGCATCCATTTTTGGAAAGCGTAGTTTTGTCTAAATGTGTAGCTCTGATGCACATTTAAAATGATTTGAGGAAGTGATGAAGCACAGTCTTTCCAACAGCACCAATTGTGTTCATGAAATGCTTAAACACAGTGTTGTCAGTATCACCAGTTCTATGAGCAAACCGACAAAAAAAAAAAAAAAAAAAAAAAAAAAAAAAAAAAACTCCTTGCCAACATCATGTTGCACAGTAATAATTTATTCATGCCAGCGCTCTGCTTGCTCACCAATTCTGTCTTTTTGTATCTGGTCTGCTTGTTCATCAATTCTTTGAATCTCTTTCCCTTCCTTCTTCCCGGCTTCTCTCTGCTTGAGCTTTGTCTCTAGAATGGAGTGGTGCAGTTACCGCCTTACCCACTCTGTTGAATGATGTGGATAGAGCAAATTTGAGGAGGGACGACGATCCCATCTCTCATGCGCCGATGTCGTTGTATTGTTTACTTGTATATGGAATGTATGTATGTGATCAGGTACGACTGCAGTTGTTTTGACAACTTTGCCTTTTTTCTGCATGACTATGTGAATGCAGGAGGTCATGGCAATGAATCCTGATGGCATCCTGTTCAGCAACGGACCTGGCGATCCTTCCGCTGTTCCTTATGCTGTTGAATCTGCCAAGTATGTATTTGCACACTTAAGACGCCTTGCTCGAATATCACTCATTTCATGTCGTCAACTAGAGAAGTTTATCTGTTATGTTCTGACGCTCGTACACGTCCTCGTCCTCGTCCTCTCCCTCCTCCTCCTCTCCCTGCTTCTTATTCTTCTTCGTCGTTGTCATCGTCGTCGTCTTCTTACTGTTATTATTATTGTTATCATTACGATTATGCAATAGTACTATCATTGTATTATCGTATTACCATAACGCATTGTCTATCCTTTTTTTAGAACTTGGTATTTACTATTTATCTGATTTTACTAGTTGTTTTTTAGTTTTATTATTACAACAAGTGAACCTGCCGCAGCAAAGCTGTGGCACAGAAGAGGGGCGCGAGGAGAGGCAGGCGGCGAGGGCAGCAAGTAAATATGCAGATGAAGGCCGCCCAAAGAGATAAAAAAGACTTTACTGAGGCTTTTGAAAGGGACTTTGCAAAATCAAAATTGGAGGAGAGCATGAGAGAGGAGGACCAGCAGATCCAGGACAAACAAAAATGGTTTCCCATTAATTGTTCAAATGCGGACCTGAGTTCGAACTCCGATGGAATCAGATGATACGGCTGGTCGGGGCAAAGGCGATATCTCAAAACCGTCGCCTTTTATTGAAAACAAAGAATAACAGGTTTCATGCCAGGATCACACAGACAATCCGGGATTGACTAATCCATCAGGCCGGCCCCAACTGCAACTGAACGTCGACCTTGCACTCCTCCTCCTCCTCCGCCTTTTCCTCCGCTTCCCTCGACCTTGCACTCCTCTTCCTCCTCTCCCCCCTTGCTCCTCCTCCTCCAGTTTCTCACCTCGACCGTCTCTCCCAAAAGCCAAGCCCGATCATTCAACGAAATGTGAATGGATGGGAGATTGGAAAATGGCCGGGGGTGGGGGGAATGGAGGAGGAGGAGGTTGAAAAGGACAATGACACGAGAGGGGGAGTCTGACGTGGACGGTGGACAATGACGAGCAAGGTAATGATGATGATGATCAGGCATACGACAGGAGGAGGGAAGAGAAGAAGAGGAGGATGGAGGCAAGAGGTGACTGGAGCAAGGAGTAGCGGGAGTCGAAGGAGGAGCGCGAGCAGGACAATGAGAAGTAGAGCGGGAATGGCTGGAGGAGGACCAGGAAGACGAGGATTGGGAGCGGGAGGACGAGGACGATGAGGAGGAGGAGGTGAGGAAGCGGATAAGGCGGAGGAAGTGCAGGAGGAGGAGGAGGAGGAGGAGGAGGATAGAGGGAAGAGGAGATCACAGCAAGGAATAGAGGAGAAGTGGGGGGAGGAAAAAGAGGAGCGGACGAGGAGGAGAGAGAGTGGCAGGAAGGGCGGGAGCGGGAGTGGGAGCTGAAAGAGTGGGAATGGCAGGAGAACCAGAAAGAGGAGGATCAGGAGCGGGAGGAGGAGGAAGATGAGGAGGAGGTGAGGAAGCGGAGGACGTGGAGGCAGTGGAGAAAGCGGAGAAGGAGGAGGAGGAGGAAGAGGAAGAGGAGCAGGAGGCGGGATGAGATATCCCCTACAGTTGGAATGATAGAAAGAATATTAGCATGGCCCCTGAGCAAGGATGACACGCATAAATCGAGAGATGGTCGAAATTAAGAAAAAAAAAGAGGTCGAACATGAGGACGAGGAGGCGGTGAGGAAGCGAAGGACGCAGAGAACGCGGAGAAAGCGGAGGAGGAGGTGGAGGAAGCCGAGTAGGAGGAAGAGGAACAGGAGCAGGAGGCGGGATGAGATATCCGTTAAAGTTGGAATGCTAGGAAGACGATTTGCATGGCCCCTGTGCAAGGATGACAAGGATAAATCGAGAGATGGTCGAGATCAAGGGAAAAAAAGGAGATCCAACATACTTCTACAAATTTCCCATTTTTCTGAGATGGAACATGACTTCTACGGTTTCCCATTTTCTGACAACAAATAAGTTAAAAATTGTAAACGTGAGAGGGGGGGGAGGGGGGCGAGGAGCACGAGGAGGAGCACGAGGAGGAGGAGGAGGAGGAAGGTAAGAATAGGGAAGAAGAAGAAGAACAGAAGATGAAGAGGAGCTCAGCCTCAGGGGATAGAGAGAGAACGAGCGAGAGAGAGAGAGAGAGAGGGGGGGGGGAGGGGAGCAGTGGGGGGCGGGGGGGGGGGGGGGGGGGGGGGGGGCGGAGGAGGACAATGAGCAGTAATAGGAGGTCGACAACCAGGAGGAGGAGATCGAAGGTCTGGGTAGCAAGAGGCGGAAGGAGCGAAAAGAGGAGGACGATGACAATTGGTAGGATGGGGGGTAGGAAGAAATGCGGGAGGGTCAGATTTTCACTGCCACATCAGGAAAAATGGACGAAACACTCTGTTACATGGATCCATAGTCACATGGAGGGTTTACAAATGACGGCGCATAATGCAGGGGGCGCACGCTCTTTGGTAGACTCCCCACCGCCCAAGAAATGCTTTGCAAGGTGCATTGCCAGATATTGGCTTCCAGAGCACATGTCGATCCGCACGTATGCACGTACGAGGGCCCCCCCGGACTGACTTCCCAATGCCGCCAGTTGGTCTCCTTCCGTTCCAGAAACTACGTGGCGCCCGTCAGTCACAGACTCAATCTTCTTTTCGCCAGCCCTTGAACTTGTGCAAGCGCGCAAAAAAAAAAACAACACGGCGCCCCTTCACCCCGAAGCGCCTCCACTGCAGCATGCCAGCTTTTGAGACTCACACGGATGGAAGAAAAAAAAAACTGCGATTTCTGCGGGTCTCCCTCGGGCCCGTGCCTTGTCCCCAGCCATTTTCCCAACACAGGGAGCCCAGGCTCGCGGCAGCGTCACGGGAGACCCGCTCTTGCCTTTATAAAGAGTATAGATAATAAGTCAATAACATGCATGTATTAACTGAAAAGAAAAAAAAAAAAGCTGCCTTTTTGTTCGCACTCCTTAATGAAGAAGGTCCAGACTTCCATCTGTTGTCGAGGTGGGTTTGGTGTCTATGGCGAGGGTGCGGATGCTTGATCTGCTGCCTGTGCCCCCATGTCTTTCTGTTGGTTGACTGATTCTATTCTTCGTATTGTACATCTGCTGTGCCACAATCCATGTTTGCCTGTTTCCTGCATCTTTTCTTGTGTACTCTTGTGTAGGAAACTTGTGGGCAAGGTCCCGGTTTTCGGGATTTGTATGGGTCATCAGGTACGATCTCTTCTTTGGTCCCGCCGTGCTTCTAATTCTCTCTTCTCTCTTCTAAGTGAACTGGTTTGAACTCACCAGCCTTGAGATGTTAAGTGGGACGCTGGACCTGTTTTCCAGCAGGTGATGCTCCTCACCAATATAGATTGGAGCAATGAGGCGTCCCGTGAGGAGGGGGTGCTCATATCACCCCTCCTAGTGTGGCAGCGTGGTTAAAAAAAAAAAAAAAAAAAGGTTTGAAAAAAGAAGAAGAAGAAAAAAAGGTTTGAAGTTTAAACTCGCCACCAGTCTCAAACTGGTTTGAACTTTGAACTGCTCCCTCGACACTTTGGATGATGATCGGTGTTTCAATCATCAATGTAAATTGATAAAATTATGTTTTGCATCAGAATTTGCCACTCCAACAATGTTGAAAGTTGAAAGTTGAAATTGATACCCTTTTTTTTTTTTTTTTGTGTGTGTGTGACACTGTGTGACCACGTACAAAAAAAAGAAAATTCAATCATCGTAGGGTGGAAACACCACCCGTAAGTTGATGATAGATGAGGCGTTGGAGTTTGGCAATATAAAAAGTAAATTGATGCCCATTTTGTTTAGTGCTATAGGCGTAGTTTTGGCGTATGTTTTTTGTTTTGTTTTGTTTTGTTTTGTTTTTTTAATAAATGTTTTTTTTTTTTTTCTACCCCTTTCTTGCACAAATCGGTTTCTTGTGCACTGGCGCATTCCTGCTAGGGCAGGAGAGAACAACTGCCACCAAGGACAACTGGCAGGTTTAATAAATTGCAAAAATCGCATTTCTTGAGTTCTGCAGGAGTCCAACGGTCTGGCATTCTTTAACAACGCCAGACAGCCTGAATGTATCTGGACTTAGTTCGAGTCCAGGGGTTCCAGCGTCTTAAGAACGCCGGGCCCTCAGGAGCGAAAAAGTTTGACATTTTTTGGGCCAATTTAGTCAGTTTCAGTTGCGTTCAAGAAATAGAAAATGTCCATTTTCACGAAATGGCTGTTCATCCTCCCACCATGTAAGGCCTAAGGCTTTCCATAACCTAAAAAAAACACCCCTTTCACGGCAGGCGGTGGTCCCCAGGTGATTTGCTCCAGGGAACGACCTCGGTGTCCTTGATGGAGCTCTGTGTTTTGCGTAAGGTTGCATACTGCGTTGCCAACCCTAGGCGGGCAAGGGACAGGGAAGGTCACTGTAAACAAAGCAAGAAAAGTTGAAAAACAAACGAAAAGAAATCGGAAAATCCGGAATAGAACTGTGTTGTGAAGCTCTCAGTTGGTTGAGCATGTACGTGGTAATCAGGAGGTCGTGGGTTCAATCCCCTCCAGTCGCCTGCGGCAGGCTTGGTATCCCCAGCTGAGTTCCCCGGGCCCTGCTCCTACCATCCCTCGCTAGGGGTTAGGAGCCTAGGTACTACTCCCTCCCTGCATAGAGTAGAGTGGATTGACATGCTATCCCCCCTGGCATTGGAGCTGGTTGTTGCTGTCCATGGCATTGGCGTGATGTTTCCTGTCCCTGGGATAGATAGGTAGGTAGTGGGAGATATATTGAGTGAAGATTCTGAAGAATAAAAGGGCCTTTACCCGATATAGGCCTCAGGCCTTGTAAAAATAGAGCAGCACGGGCCTTGTAAAAGTAAAGCATTGTGAAAAGGTATCTTGCCAGGGCTCAGAAACGTGAAAACAGGTCAAAGGTCAAGTTCTCTATCAACAGGCACATCTAAATCTAAGGCAAAGGGCATTGTCAAAAGACTTACCTGTTCACCAGGAGATGTGTATGTCATGTCTGTTCGGGTAAGGGTGTGTCTGTACGTGCAGGCAGTGTACCTGTTCGTGCAATGGAAAGTGCCTGTTCAAGTAGTAAATGTGTCTGTTCGTTTAGAGTTGTGCCTGTCCGAAAGTGAAGTCAGTAGGCACAGTCCCAGTTCTGTTCTAAGTCAAGGGGTCAGTCCAGATCCAGACTTTCAAGTCCAAATCCAGGCCGAAGTGCCTCAGCAGCAGTTGAACCTCATTGGGACTGTACTGGGACACATGCAATGCAGGGTCTGGGACAAAGGGAGAGGCTGAATTGAGCCAATGCAGACCCAGCGAGGAGTGGCCAGCACTATAAAAAGAGCTGCCTGCCTCATTCCTCGCCAGATCTCCACTGGCTTGAATGCGTGGAAGTGCTGGTGCACTTGTGCGTTAGTCAGTAGGAGTAGCGCTGGAGGAAGGAAGATGCGCTAAGAGGGAAGAAGAAGATTGTGCGCTGGAAGGAATGCAGCCATGCTGCTCAGCGAGTTAGTAAGTAGAGTAGAAGGGTTAGTACTTAGCTATGAGTRGTATCCAGAGTAGATCCTTGAKAGAACAGTGTGTGCATGCATCGTAGGAGGAAGAGATTGAGACGAAGAGTGTTCATTCAAGGTTTGGCTATGGGAGACACTTACCTGAGTTGATTGTGAATGCAGAGTTGGCGCTGATGAGTTGTGACCATATTGATGACTAGGAGACAATCTGCAGAGGTAGCGCTGATGCCTTGGAAGGCATATTGATGAGTTGAGCAGAGATTTGGGTTGCGCTGATGAGCGCTGGACTCAGGGGAACTTTGAAGCACTTTGTAATCATATTTCTGATAATATAAGCTGTGAGACTCGGTTCTTTTCTTCTCTACCTTTGTCTATGGTTGAGACTATTGATCACTGCGTGTGAAGATGATGCATGACATGTACACATCTGCGTGAGATGGTCCCCAGGACCCATGCAAGAATATAGCTTAGTTTGAAAAAAAAAAAACCGTGGCATGGACGAACAGGTTTTGCTTCGAGTAGCATTGATCACACCACACCTTCCATTGATGAAAGGTCTCTTCCAGGTCTGTGGCCGTTGTGGGACGAACAGTTTTTTTTGCTTCGAGAATCATGGATGAATCCTTCCATGATCGGGTCGTAACGGGATGGCAGAGAAAGGTCTCTTCCAGGTCTCTGTGGCCGTTGCAAGCGTGCTTCTTTTATGTGTGCTTGCCCTTGAGCAGGTTTTCCTTTCTTCCACATTTTCTCTGTTTCTGCATTTCGCCTCCTTGCTCTTATCTGATCAGCAGCAGCCTACCTTGCATTCCGTCTTTGACTTTCGTTCTGAATGGTGCTATGTTCCTGGTCAGATTCTTGGTCAAGCTTTTGGTGGACGGACATTCAAGCTGAAGTTTGGGCATCATGGCGGGAACCATCCTGTACGACATGAACCGACTGGACGCATTGAGATCAGTTCACAGGCAAGAACACCGAAATGGACTGGCGCTGATGCCCCCTCCTCTCTCCCTGCCCCAGTCTCCCGTGACCATTTATATGTTTGTCTAATTCCTTGTGTACGACTACACTGTTATGCTCTCTCTCTCTCTCTCTCTCTCTCTCTCTCTCTCTCTCTCTCTCTCTCTCTCTCT